CCATTGTTAGGCTGATGGTCCTTCTTGAGCATGTGATCAGCTGGTTTTGGTTGTCAGCAGCAAAACTGGTTGATCCACTCTGAGATGGTGCTATTTAAGAGACTGAGCTGAATACAGCTCCTCAGACTCAGGAAGTCTCTCGGATGAGAGATGAAACGTTTCTACATTTTTTTGTTGATTTGCTTTGTTTTGTTTTTTTGAATGTCCAGAGGACCAGATTTAATTTTTTTAGATTTTTCTACCTGGATTATTGAGCATGCATCAGGATAGACAGAGATCTTCTTCACAGAGTTGGCAAGACTCATTTACAAGTGAGACCTGTTTAGACAGACAAAAAGTAGTCAAACTGGACACATGTAGGAATTGGAGGCAAAAAATTCCTATCAGACTCTTTCTTCTTGGCTTAGAATAAAAACTCTAATATTAAAAAAAAACACCTTGCACAATTGAGCACATAGTGACATAGACATTCCGCCGGGGGGGGGGAGACAACGAGCGGTGAGCAATGTCCATGGAGGCTCTCGACGGCACTGTAAGAGTTCTAATAAGGATGGAATAATCAACCAGTGTCCTCCGGTGAGATCCATAAACATTCTCAAGGGATGTTGGGTAATGGCCAAGGACAATGCCTATGGGAATCCCAGAGTTCTAAAATGATGACACAATGTTTATTCAGCTGGTTTCCTCTGGTTGATCAGTTGGAAATTCCTTGATGGTAGGGGGAAGGAGGGTTGAGCATTAGATTACATGTTCTCCAGGCAAATTCAGATAAGGTGGCCTTCAAGGCCAGCCAAGAGAGCCAAATTCAGATAAACACGCAGTTGTTTTGGGAACGGGCAGAACTTACTGACATCTACCTTGAGTCTGTGTTGGTCCAAACAGTTCCAAAATGTCCAAATTACATGGCCACACTGATGGAACGTGCCTGAGTAAAATCTCCAAGATCTGTTCCATTCTGCCCAAAGCATTTGAGTCTGGGTACTCGAGGCACAAACCAAGCCATCATAAAGGCAAGCAGCATGATTGGTCTCAATTTGCTGCCGACGACTTCCTTGATTGTAGATAAACCAGCAACCAGCCGAATCCAAAAAGCAGGAACCAGTTATCGTAAATCCAATTATAAATGTGTCCTTAAAATCCACAAATGGCAGCAGAGATAGACACATCATCAAGTCTTCAAGTCGATGAGATATCCAGCTGCGTGTGTGCCAACAGGGCAATCGGCTCGCCTAAAGCCTGTCTTCTCTTCGAAGAAATGTTATCAATTGTGTTGAGGGACCAACTGATAAAATCAAGTCCATAATTATGGTTCGGACGATATGGAAGAGAGGCTCAGAAGCAGTTTCACAGACAAGACAGAGCAGCAAAGCGGAGAGGGAGAGGAGGGGAAAAGTGTCCAACCTCGGCAAGAGCAAGCGGTGAAGTTTTCCAAGAATAAAGACATATGTTTGTACAAAATGTCTCCATTGTTTCATATATAATATCGATGGGGTTAGAAATTGTGCTTATAAATTAAAGACCAAGAAAGAAGCATTTGTTTGAATAAAATTAGATAGCTTTTTTCAATGTTGTAGTTGCAAAGGAGAATAAAATTAAGGCCACCAAGTTTTGAAAATTAATAATTAAGTATAAAATTCCAGATTGAGGGTGAATTTTTAAGAAACTATTTAATCCAATTTATTTTGAACGTATTGTTTAAATTTGAATAATCCAGAAAATTTAGGCCACCATGTTCGTATGAGTTCATAAAGACTGATTTTCTGATATCTGCTACAATAATGTTTTACTGTTGTGAGCATGATAACTTGAAAAATAAGCATCGTGCCACTTCCATTTTGGTGTGTGGCTATATCTATGTGTAAAAAAGTTCCTTTCAAAAATTTAGTTGTCAAGTCAAAATCTAAGATGGCCATCACCTACATACAGTACATACCACATACATGTATATAAACAGGCCACCCCACTCATTTGAGGAAACTATTTCTAGTTTTTATATTGTCTCTTTAGAATGATTAGTTCAATTAGCTTTGTAGAGATCTAGTAGAGTGCTGTATGAAGGGGTAGTTGAGGCACAGATTGTAGTGTAAAACACTTTGAGTATCGCGACAAGATAGAAAGGCATTATATAAGTGCAATCCATTTAAAAGTACAGTTTCATCAAATAATTTGGGTGACTCTTGGAGTGGCAAAAGATTAATCTATATTAGCCAAGGGCACCATTGACCACACCATTGCACCTGGTTGTAGATAAAATTGTTCCCTCCACTCACCAGAATCAGTCATCAGAGGTGGAAGTAGTACTGAAAATTTGTACTCTAGTACAAGTATTGTTACACTGCTTAAATTGTACTCAATTACAAGTAAACATGCTGGTGTTATAAAAATACTTAAGTACAAAGTACTCTTCTCAAAAACTACTCAGAGTATGAATTACTTTTTAACCACTTGATGTTTTATTGTGTTGTCAACAGAAGTCATTCAGTTTGATCTACTGTGTATAATAACTACATTCAAAGCACATTTCTCAGGTGCTCAGAAGCTCCGTCTTATTTTAGTACCAGGCGAACCGATGGCAGTGACAGTATCTAAGATCTTTACATACTTAGTCAAACTAATAACACACACAAACAATAAAACTCAATATCATGCAGGTAGCTGTAAAACCTCGTGTACTGCAATATGTTTTTTGAGATTAGATGCTGGAGTCTTATCAGCTGCTTCACCGTAGAGATCAGAGTTTGCATCTGGACACTGTCTCCTTTTCACCCTCTGTTCATGAAACATTCCTCCAGGTACGGCCACGAGAACTCGTCCTCAACCTTTACCTCATCATTTTCTCTGTTGACAGTGTTGTCCTCTGTCTCCATTTTGGCTTTTCCTCCAAATCTTCGGTCCATAAACGACTCTCTACGCTACAGAGTTGTTCTTTGCTTACGTCATAGGTAATTGGTGCGTTCATGATCTGAGAGCCTTGTTGGCTACAAAGATGCAGATGAACGGTTTGAATATTAATTCAACTTGTGGCCGTACTCAGTAACGACTTCTGATTTTAAAAGTAGCAAAGTACATTACATGGTCTAAGCTGTACTTAAGTATGAGTAAAATTACACACTTAAAAGAAATACTCATAAAATACAAGTACCCAAAAAATCTACTTAATTACAATAATGTGAGTGTAATTCATTACTTCCACTGCTGGTCTTTATTAAATAAATATGTTCCTTTTCTTTTTGCTTTAAGTCTTGGTCAACATAAATAAAACAAACACATTATTTGGGACTGTAGAAATAGTAGTAATAGAAATATGGCCACGGTCTTTACGAAGAAGACAAATGCTATAAGTTGGCAAGTTAGCAATTTGAATTCACGTTTCAACATGAGTATTTTCAATCATGTTTGGGAAAAGCAATTTATTAAACATCAGTCAAATGCAATGATTGGTTTCTGTTATAAAGGCTGCTGTATTGTCTGAATGACCACTAGAGACACGTTTTCTACTGTTTAAGTCTTGTAATGGTTATAACTGGGCTCAATATATAAATATTGGATTAAATGAGATTTTAGTTTGATTAAATTTGCTCACGTTTAATACAACTACGTTACTGAACTGAAGAGTTCAGTAGATAGACTCATTTTTTTGCGAATGAATTGCTGGACTGAAACACATCTTGCTCTGTCACTCCTTTTAAATCTTGCAGTGGCTCTGATTGGGATGTTTGCTGTTAAATACATACAACTTTGACAAACGTATTGAAAGATTCTGGCTGGATGAAACATACAGTATACTCTTTGAAATAGCCATAAAACCTTTGACCAGCTGGTTCCTGTGTGAAAAAGAGGAAACAAGGAAAGGAGTATTATCAGAATGCATTGTGACTGTTTTTGGCTCGTTTCCTGCCAGGGGGTGGGGGAGAGGGGGGAGAATGGACAGCTTCCATCCAAGCAGAACCAGAATCTTTGCATGGATCAGTTGCTGCATCAGACTTCATCTCCTTGGCTTGTAGTTTAGATGTTTGTCAGTTTCTTTTCTTAAAATTATATGTTGATCAGGAGTTTTAAAGGTTTTATGCTCTTATACACAATTCAAAACCTGAATGTTAATATCTTATTGTAAAGCAGTTGTCTAAGTTTGTGTGTTCATGTTTTTGCATGTGTGTTTGGACCATATGTACAGGAGTTGCTGCGTTGTGTTTGGAGACACCTGGTTGGTGTCCTGAAAGGAGAATCTCAGACACTGTGCTACACGTCCAGCCTTCTTCACACACTTGGTTCTGTCACTGTGAGTATGAAGTATTTTTCCAAAACAAATATCAATTTCAGAAGTGGTATATTATGTAATCTGTTGGCCAAATAGTTGCAAATCCTTTCTACAATCATTAACAATTTGCTTCAACATTAATTTCAAAACTAGACTGAACCTTAAAGACTCCAAAAAGCAAACGTATACTTTCCCCCCCATATTCAGGCTAAACAATATTGGAGAGGAATATTTTTTATCAAGCACGCTAACTATGCGTGCCACCTGGAAAATGTCTTCCATATTAAAGAAATAAAAACACCCTTTGATTGCTTTAAATACCTTGATTAATCCCTCTGAAATAAAAGTTTGCCCACCCCTCGTCTAGCAGAACTTTAAAGGAAAAACAGGTTGTTGTCAACAAATCAAGGAGAGGCTGTAGAGAAGAATCACAATCATCTTCAACATTCAGATCATTACTGTAAATGTGCCGTTGAACTGAAACTATTTTTGAACAATTTTCTGTCAGTGGTTATGACATTTTAGATATTTTAATTTTAAATCTTGTAACCTTCAATAATCTACAATAAAATAGGAGATGTTACAGAAAAATGTTGTAAAAAATTTACAAAATTAAAATGAATTTAGGAGGAAAACCTATTTCAAAGGGCCATACAATATAGTGGAAGTTAACTATATTACTGATTTTATTTGTGTTTTGTATTTGTAAACAGCGGACTACTTGTTAATAAATACTCTGTTCTAAGTGAAATAGCACCAAGAGGAGGGCATCGAGAAAAAAAACATCCATCCGTCCATCAATCAATCTTAATGTAGAGGAGCAGCAGTTCTACTCCAAGTCTCTCCTTATAACTGAACTTCTCACCCCATCTCTAAGGGAGAATCCAGCTACTTTGTGGCGTAACCGCCTATCCGTGATCTCAATCTTTCAGTCACTACCAACTGGGCGGCTGTGGCTGAGTGGTTAGAGCAGTCCTCCTCCAATGCAAGAGTTGGGGGTTCGAATCCACCAGCAGTCACCTGCCGAAGTGTCCCTGGGCAAGACACAACCCCTCATTGCCTCCCATCGGTGTATGAATGTGATAAAGTACCGACTAGTCTCTTTAGAACGATTTGTTCATTTAGCTTTGTAGAGCTATACCTGTAGTAGAGTGCTGTATAAATGGGTAAATTAGTGCAAAGATTGTGTTGTACAGCATTTTGAGTGACTTGATATATAAGTATAGTATACTATATAAGTAGTCCATTTACCCAAAGTCCATGTCCATAGGTGAGGGTAGGAACGTGATGATGAAAATGAGAGCTTTGCCTTACAGCTCAGCTCCCTCTCCACCACAAAGGCACAGAGTTTGCAATACTGCAAACGCTGCACCAATCTGTCTGTTAGTCTCACTCTCCATTCTTCTCTCACTCATAAACAAAACCCCAAGATACTTGAACTCCTCCACTTGAGGCAGAACCTCACCCTCAACCTGAAGAGAGTAATCCACCCTTTTCCTGCTGAGGACCATGGCCTCAGATTTGGAGGTGCTGATTCTCACTCCCCAGCTGCTTTACACTCGGCTGCGATCCACTTCAGTGAGAGCTGAAGATCACGGCACAATGACACTAACAGGACCACATCATCTGCAAATAGCAGAGGCCACTGAACCGGACTCCCTCTGCCCCTGGTTGCGCCGAGAAATTCTGTTCATAAAAGTTATGAACAGAATCAATAAAAATGGGCAGCCCTGGTGAAGTCCATCTCCCACCCAGAATGGGTCCAAGTTATTGCTGGCAATGTGATCGAAGCTCTTGCATCGCTTGTATAGGGACCAAACAACCCATAGCAATGGGCCCCAAACCCCATACTCACAGAGCACCACCACAGTGTACACCGAGGAACACGGATGAATGCTTTCCCCAAGTCCACAAAACACATGTAGTCTGGATGGGCAAACTTCCTTGACCCTAGTGAGGGTAAAGAACTGATCCAGTGATCCACGGCCAGGATGGAACTCGCATTGTTCCTCCTGGATCTGAGGTTTGACCAACAATCTGACTCTCTTCTCCAGTACTCCTGAATAGACCTTATCAGGGAGGCTAAGGAGAGTGACACCCCTATAATTTGAACACACTCTCTGGTCCCCATTTTTGAAGAGGGGCACCACCACCCCAGTCTGCCAATTGCCAATCCAGTGGCACTGCTCCCAATGTTCATGCAATGTTGAAAAGGTGTGTCAACTAAGACAGTCCTACAAAATCCAGAGCCTTAAGAAGATCAGGGCAGTTTTCATCCATCCCCCAGAGACCTACAGCTACAGAGCTTTTTAACTACCTTGGTGACCTCAGCCATGTTTATGGACAGACAAATCCCAAACTCCCTCGACTCTGCTTCCTCCATGGAAGACGTGCCAGTGGGATTGAGAAAGTCCAAGAAGTATTCCTTCCACCTCCTGACAACAGCACTGGTTGAGATCAACAGCACCCACCTTCACTGAACACAGTGTTAGTAAAGCGCTACTTTCCCCTCCTCAGATCTCAGATGCCTGATGGTTTGCCAGAATCTCCTTGGAGCTGACTGAGAGTCTCTATCCAAGGCCTTGTTGAACTCCTCCCACAGCTGAACTTTTGCCTCAACAACAACTAAGGCTGTTGCCCACTTGACCCTCCGGTACTCTTCATCTGCATGTAATAATGTCCTGAGAGTGCACGCTGTAGCTGCACTCACGCAGAGACATGTTGGAGGAGATGTATGAAGGCAGCAGACCAAGAAGTGATTTAAAGATGAAAATGTACCAATGGGAGAGTCTGCGTGAAGTTAATGATGTCCAGTTAACCAGTGAATACTGGGTGCAGTGGTGGGTACGATAATCACAGCCAGTTTTAAATCTTAGTGCACCATGATAGACAGCATCCAACATCCGCAGGGTGCTTGTAGGAGCGTTCCTGTAAATAATGTCACCGTAATCAATGGAGGGAAGGAAAGTCACAGTTACAAGGTGTTTCCTAACATTCAGGGTTAGACAGGATCTGTTTCTGAAAAAGAAACCCAGTTTAACTTTCAGTTTCTTTACTAGGTTTTCCACATGGAGCTTAAAAGAGAGATGCGAGTCGACCAAGATACCCAAATATTTATAGGAATCAACAAACTCAATTGGGACACCATTTGAGGATGAAATCAGAGGAAGAACTGCTGGGACCGACTTCCTGTTTGAAAAAAAGCATCCCTTTGATTTTTTTCGGCATTTAGGACAAGTTTGAGGTGGAACAAATCTGTCTGGATGATGTCAAATGCAGATTTCAAAAGCTGGAACACATTGCCTCTGATCTGAGAGATAGTTAGAGAACCAACCAATGGTGTGTTCTGAGAAACCAATTTCTGAGAGTTTATGACACAAGATGTTATGATCCACAGTGTCAAAATCTTTAGACAGGTCTAAGAAAAGTGCAGCACAATAATCCTTAGTATCCAGTGCTTCAACATTGTCATTAAGAACCTTCAGTGAAGCAGTGGTTGTGCTGTGTTGTTTCCTGAAACCAGATTGATGTGGAGGTAAGATGTTAAATGAGTCCAGGTAATTTTTGATTTGAGAGTTTATCAGTTTTTCTAGAATCTTGGCTAAAATGCAGAGTTTAGAGATTGGTCGATAGTTGTTCAGTGAGGTGGGGTCACCTCCCTTCAGCAAAGGAAGAACAAAGGCTGTTTTCCAAGTGTCTGGGATGGAGTTTTGTCTTATGGAGAGATTGAAGATGTGGGTCACAGGGACTGTGATGATATGAGCAGCCAGCCTTAAGAAATAAGGTGGAAGTTCATCTGGACCTGCAGATTTTTTAGGGTCAAGATCTTTTAACAGTTTATTAACCTCACTGACTGAGAACGGAGAAAAAGAGATTCATTCATTCAACCTTTATTTAAACCGATAAATCATATTGAGCCTCGAAGACTCATTTACAAGTGAGACCTGTTTGGACAAACAAAAAACAGTGGTTAACTGGACACATGAAGAAGTTGGAGGTGAAAAAAATTCCTATCATACTTTTTTTTTCCTACCTGAGGAAAAAAAACCCTCTAATATTAAAATAAAAAAAAACTCGCACAAAAAATCACATAGTGACATAGACATTCTGCAGAGGGGGGAGAGCCAAGAGCGGTCAGCATGTTCATAGATGCTCTCTCTCGAGGTCACTGTAAGAGTTTTGATAAGGATGGAAAACCAGTCAATGTCCTCCAGTGAGATCCATAAACATTCTCGAGGTATGTCGAGGAATTTCCAAGGATAACATCTATGAGAATCTAAGAGTCCTGAAATGATGACACAATGTTTATTCAGCTGGATTCATCTGATTATCAGTTGGAAATTCCTCAGGGAGGGGGTGGTGAGCATCAGATCACATGTACTCCAGGCGAACCTTTGGCCAGCCAAAGGGAGCCAACATAGATAAACACACAGTTGTTTTGGGGACAGGCAGAACTTACTGACATCTACCTTTAGTTTGTGTTGGTCGACTCGGTTCCAAAATGTCCAAAATACATGGTCACACCGATGGAACGTGACTGAGTAAAATCACCACGATCTGATCCATTCAGACCAAAGCATTTGAATCCGGGCACTCGAGACACGAACCAAGCCATCATAAAGGCAAGCAGCGTGATCGGGTCCAAATTTGCTGCCGACGACTTCTTTAATTGTAGAAAAAAACAGCAACCAGCCAAATCCAAAAAGCAGGAACCAGTTATCGTAAATCCAATTAAATATGCGTCCTTAAAATTCACAGATGGCAGCAACGATAGACACATCATCGAGTCTTCCAGTCGATGAGATATCCAGCTGCGTCCGTGCCAACAGGGCAAATCAACTCGCCTAAAGCCTGTCTTCTCTTTGAAGAAATGTTGTAAATTGAGTTGAGGGACCAACTGATCAAAACAAGTACATAATTATGGTTCGGAGGATATGCAAGAGAGGCTCACAAGCAGTTTCACAGACAGACAGAGCGCAAAGCAGAGAAGGAGGGGGAGAAGCATACGATCTCGGCGAGAG